GTTTACTTATAGCGTTAAAAAAATTGTTTGTTTTATGTTCATAAATGGTCTGTTTTGTGATGAATAGACACTTCTATCCGCTTACTATACTCAGAAAAAAAATCAGCTCATTTGGATAAAGAATGCCGAAGACATTGAACATTTTCTAACTCTAAGGACTTTACGGACACCCTATATGTGAACCTTCTTTGATTCTATTTCCAATTACGTACTGTTGTTCAACATGTAAAATAGGACCACATCATCATCCATTTGATTCGACCTGGTTTCAATTTTTAAAAAATCAAATGAGTCAATTTTAATTCCAAAACTTGCGAATTGATACTGGTTCGAAATTTTTTAAAGAATATTTAAATGTTTTTGACAAAAGTTTCCACAGCAAATAGGTACTATTTTTCATTTATTGATTAGATTGACATTTGTTGAACAGTTGATTAAAAAATAATTTATTTTAAGCATTTTCTTTGTGCTTTGACAATAAAATATCATAAAACCATTCGAATCATAATTTCGAAAATTTGTTTTTTATCCAATATTGTAGAACAGATATGCAGAACGATCACGATTACCAAATCTAAAATAAATTCACTCACATATCACAGATTAACCAAACGATCAATACATAGATTAGAAACTTATGATTATCTGTCTGATAGTCGCAAAAAACAATCATGAATACTTTAATTGTTCATTCCTTCTCCAGAGTGTACGCTGTTGACGATTATAATCGGATAAATCCTTTTGAAAATAAGTTAAAACATTGTTTAGTAGTCTACAGTGTCTAATATCCTATATTTATCAAAAGATATTGTATTATGTACAAAAATAAGAAACATTATTCATTAAGCGCAGTAAAAACTAAAGCAACGATAAAAGAAACATGTTCGTCTATAAAAATGTGAAAAAAGTAGTCAGAAATTTTATATAATATAAAAAACAAAAATTTACAATAATGAAATAATATCAGATCATTACAAATATTGAGAAGAAAATTATTCTAAACTGTTAAGTAAAGACTAAATGCAAGTGTGATCAAAATCATCATTAAACTTATGGTCGAAGTTGATCGTTCGCCAAAATTACAACCATCACGACTGCATGTGTATGTACATGAATAATACAACTTTTCATCTTGTGGATAACGAATTTCCAAACATTGATTATCCATATGACGAGAACTACAAAAACGTTTTGTTGCCACGGCACCTAAATAAACAAAGCAGTTTATAGCAAACAACTAATGTATAAAAATACACAATTGTAGAAATAAACTGAACTCATTTTTTAGTCATATCAATAAGTAACAAAAAATTCGGTTAATTATGTGTCCAAAGTAGTAGTGATTAAAAGAAAGATCACTTAAAAATTTCTATGCATAATTTTTTCACCTCCAAAAACGGCAATTGTTTTTATACAAAATCGAGGATCTTGTACACCACTTGGACCACCACATTCAACTGAAAGAAGAAAAACAAGACGTAAAAATATCATATTTTTGGTGAGTGAGAATCATGTACCTGGCAAAGTATCTTTTCTTGTCCATGTTTCTGGACAATGTTCATCTTCTTTAGAATCACACACATAACAACTTAAAGAATCCGTCACTAATGTAAATATGAGAAACATTTAGTAAATTTTAGAAAATTTATACAAAAGAAGCTTACCATTAATGAAATAGAATAAAACAAACAAATAAAGGAAGACGGTATAAGTCATATTATGTAATCTACGATAAAAAGAGCAAAACAGATAAACTGTGAAAATTTTGGAAGTTGAAACAAAAATGAGAACACTAAACAGCTATGTATCATTTGTGAAAACTTCATTTTTGACTTTTGCACAATCTACTCTACTTTTCCAGTCGCATTGTGTTGGTATACTCTCTTTTTTCCGCAAGATTCACATGTTATTTAAGAAAAAGCACTCTAGCATTAAAGATAATAGCGTCTTTTTTCATGTGGATGTTTCTGGAATTGCAAAGGGGATATAAACATAACCGTATATTTCGAGAGAAAAATAATCATAAATCTTGTATAACAATAAAAACATTTCGTGTGTTATCTGACTACTCACAATTCAGCAATTTTTCAGTGAAAAAAAGTGTAGTTAACAAAAAAAAACGAGATTAAGTAATAAATAAATAATAAATGAATAGTCTGTATTCTCGAGAAATGTCTTATATTCGCGCTCAAAAATAGAGTATGAACGTAAAGGCGACTATAAGTTATTGAACCCAAACCCGAATATGTATGAGCTTATAGAGGAAGACTCGCTCTATCTAGTAGTGTATATATCGTCGAATCTAATGTGCACCGTCAGAGATAATGAAACGTAACCTCTCGTTTTTTAGATATTTTAGAAATTTATTCTATTATTGAGTTAATATAGTGCATTATAGAGTAAAGTGTTCTCTATTCACAGCTCTACAAAGGCCTTTCGTTGAGGAGATACGAACTTTTTAAAGTTTATTACTCTACGCTGTAGAAATCCTATTTTTTTACTTTCGAACCTTTTTTCTCTTCCATTCAGTATTTGATAAACTTTTCAAACAATCATGGTCTTTCAAACCATGTTTTCTGATAGTTACGATTATTTTAGACGTTACATCACAAATGTAACGTTTTCAAAGGCTTCCAGCAAAATGATCATAACTGTATCAGAAAACATGGTGGAGAGCTAGGAGATATCTCATTTTGTAGAAAAATCTTTACTCTAGAAGACTGACTGTTTGAAAAGTTTATCAAATACTGAATGGAAGAGAAAAAAGATTCGAAAGTAAAAATATAGGGTTTCTACAGCGTAAAGTAATAAACTTTAAAAAGTTCGTATCTCCTCAACGAAGGGCCTTTGTAGAGCTGTGAATAGAGAACACTTTACTCTATAATGCACTATATTAACTCAATAATAGAATAAATTTCTAAAAAAATCTAAAAAACGAGAGGTTACATTTCATTGTCTCTGACGGTACACATTCGATTCGACAATATATACACTACTAGATAGAGCAAGTCTTCCTCTACAAGTTCACACATATTCGGTTTTGGGATCAATAATTTATAGTCGCCTTTCAGAGTATACACAGTGCACTCGGATCTTTGAATCAGAATGCAAAATAGACTGCATTTTTGAAAAGCAGATATTCAGCTCACTTTGTTTACGCGAACGTACTCGGTCATAGGAAACGCTAAAGCAAATACTAGTACAGACTTTGTGTCCAAACAGAAATATCACAACTGAAGAGTTAACTATACACATTTGAAAGAACAGGCTAGAAAAGCATAAACTGCACTATTTTACATACAAATGAGTATACAGAATATCAAAAAGATCTGAGAAGGTAGCTCTGGCATTGTTAGTGCATTATTCCATTATTATGCAATAATTTACCCTAGTCGAGACTCCTGATTAATCTCCCGCAGGAGTCCTGGAAAACAGTCCTACAGGAGTCCTGGAAAACAGTCCTACAGGAGTCCTGGAAAACAGTCCTACAGGAGTCAGCAGGAGTCCTGTCACGGGATCCCGGCAGGATCCTCTGTGGAGTCATGGAGGATTTTTAAGGGATTCAAGAGGGATTCCTCAAGACTCTCACAGGAGTTCTATGGGATTCT